CCCCAAAACCCCAAAACCCCAAAACCCCAAGGGCTTCAATCTCTATATATCACAAGATATGATAAAGATTAGTATTTAATAACTTAAGTTTAACCTTAAGATGGATCATTTAGTAGCACTTAAAATATAAGATACTTATCAAAAATACAGAATCCTACAAAAACTGGGTGATGGAGGCTAAGGTGATGTTTACTTGGCTCAAGATCTTGAGGATCCTAATCTAAAAGTAGTTGCGTTAAAGTAACAAAAGTTAGATGATATGCTGGGAACTATAAAAACTTCAATAATCAAGTAGCACTAATGTCTATAGTGCCAATTATGCAATCTCTGCAACTACTGCCAACAATGCAATTAATGCGCGCATCAACCTCAATCTGTATTAGACGCTAAACAATTTGAAGAGGCATCAAATGATGCTAAATAAATTTTGTCAAAGGAACTTCTTCGCCTACTAAGAGAAATCTCATCAATTCAGCTAAAGCATCTGAATATAGTCGACATCTATGACTCATTTCTCTCAACAGATAACAAATTCATCATTATAAGTGAATTAGCACAACAAGACTTGAAGAAGTTTGTAGATACTCGATTCAAACAAAATAATAAACTAACAGTTGAAGAAATTACAATGATTCTTATTCAAGTACTTAATGGGCTTGAGTATATTCATAATGAGAACTTCATCCACAGAGACATATCTCCTTAAAATATCCTAGTTTTCAAAGATTAAACTATCAAAATTTGTGATTTTGGATTCGCATCTTATGGTGAATAAACCAATGCAAATGTTGGAAAATAAGAATACATGGCTCCAGAGGTTAACAATGGAAACTAAAACTATAACAAGTCAATTGATATATGGTCTCTTGGAATAATGCTTTACTATCTTTGTACTGGATCAACAAACTACTAGGGCAAATCAGTAAATAATCTTGCAAGAGAGCAGAAGCGTATTTACCTGCCATAGGAACACTAATAATTTCAGAAAATATTTGATTCAATGATAAGGATTAATCCTTCAAATAGACCAACAGCCACTCATCTTAAAGATGAATTTATGACATTTATAGACTAAAGCCATATCACCTTTTAAAAATATTAAACATCACTTTTGACTCATTTGACAATCTAATAATAAATTAAACTTCAGAAGCAATAAGAAAGCTTTTAAAAGCAAATTCTAAGAAATTTTGATTAAGAACTGATTAAGAAAGATTAAGATTTACAAGTGGCATTGTAAGATTTTTATTAGGAAATGCATAATTGCTAGCTCTTTTTAAGATCTTATTTGAGGGAGATTGAATAAGAGAAGGAAAAAATAATATCTATTTCACACTCAGAAGTTAAAGTCTAGCAGTTGATAATTAGCGATTTAACTAACCACTCATTTAACCCTGTAATTCATAAAACATATTAAATTACTACTAATCGGAATTTAGAATTTGATAGGATGTTCAAACTAGGAGAGAAATATTTGACTTATTATTCTGGTTTAGGTGAAGGTAAGTGTGGAATATTAGACCTAAATCTACAACTTATCTAAATATTAGAATAAAAGGTAGAATTATTACATGAATAGAATGGTAAGGTGTTGATTTCTTGCGATAATAAGATAAGTTTATTAAGAGGATTAGATTCATAATACCCATAAGTTTTAAATAATATTTACTAGAGTACTAAAAAAATTTCTAAAATATTAAAAATGAGTGATGATATATTTATCACTGTATAGTGGGATGGATATATTGAGTTATTTAGTCTTTCAAATTAGAAATTCAAAGCATCATTCTAAATTAAAGAGGAAAAATTTATTTTAGATATATGTTAGATTGAAAGTAATTAAGGTTAATATACATTAGCTATTGGCACTTTTGGTCTAGGTATCATAATAGGTAAAATAATAATGAAGAGCTAATTTGATTATGAATTCTAAGAGGACTAAAATAAATTGATAGATGATGGAATTTATTGCTAATCTTTGATGCTAGTTAAGTAGAATGTTATTGCTGCTTGTGTTTTTTATAGAAATAATAAATCATTTATAAAGATTTTAGATGTTAAAACTAGATAAGAACTACAATCCTTTCAATAAAAAGAATCGAGTTATTTATATCCAACATTAGATTATGAATATGATCAATATCCTTATGCTTTTATTAAGGATTAATCTAATTTATCACTCATTAACATGAATAATTATCAAATAATTACTTTAATTTAATCTCAATGTAGTTATATAAAAGACTATCAATTGATATAATAGAGAGATAAGGATAAAAAATATAAATTGATTGATATTTAGTTGTATAAGATGAAATAAGAAGCTTATAATGAAGATTCTGACGAAAATTCGGATTATTATCCAGATGAAGACACTAAATAATATTTTCAAGAATTGAGAGAAATAGAGATCACCATGGCCTGAGTAAACTTCAAAATTCATTAAAATATTTTTTAAGTAGATTAATATTTAATTACCCACTTTCAATTGCACATCTTAGTAGCAAGGGGTTTTGGGGTTTTGGGG